CGAACAAACGTAGTATTGTGTACGGCTCTTCCCACCCCCCGCCCCCACCTGCAAAGTTTTACAAATGAAAAATTTGTTCACATTATTCGATTATTTTGAAAATTGCCTACGTACTAATAAGGCCATGGCAAACATAATTGGTTTTGATATTTAACCTTGTAAAACCACTCGTTACACCATAAAATTGATGCTTATGTGAGTTGGGGGGGGGGGGAGGAAAAAGAGCCTAGTGTACAAACTTGCCGGCTATTTTCCACTATCCCCCCATATTTGAATTTTATTTTGAATAACGATTTTTACGTTGTCATAATGTAATGAAATTTTGCATGGTGAACGAACTAACAATTGTGAACACATTTGTTCTTCATACCTTCCATCACGCATTCAACCATAATAACTCGTAAAACAATATCTAAAATTGAAAATGTGGTGGTGGTGGGACTGTTTCGACCTTTACCATTCTGCAGGACAAACCACTGACCCTTGGACTCAAGGCTGTTTCCAGTCTGCCTACGCGCATAGCTGATATGCCGATTGCGAGCTATGCCTATCCCAACCATCCCAACACGTGCAGAGTAGAAACTTCGCTTCTGGCCTCACCAAGATTCAAACCAAGGACCCTGGTCATATGGGCTCGCATCCTTCCAGTTGTGCTAAACGCACCTGGAAGTTAATGATATATTCCATATTTGAATCAATCTGTGTCAATTTTAGATTCTTCAAGAATAAACACATGCTTAAAAGCTCATTTGACTATTCGGCTCTTTTCCTTGCCCCCACCTCACGTCAATTTGGCTCTTGTCCAGTTCCCCCCCTTCAAATTCAATTTCGAAGTCTATTTAACGTTGTCATAATGCAATGAAATTTGGCGTAGTGAACAAATCGACAATTCTGAACAGATTTGTTCTTCATACTTTACAGCGTAACATCACGCGTTTAGCCGTAATAACACGTAAAACGAACATAAAACTCGGTATTCTGAAAGGGGGGAACTGGAAAAGAGCCGACGAACATATTTGGTCCTCATGGTTAACCTTGTAAAACCCCTCGTTACACCATAAAATTGGTGCTTCTGTGAGGTGGGGTGAAAAGGAAAAAGAGCCCAATTGGACAATGTGAAAAAATTCCCAAGCGGGGGGAAATTAAAAGGGGGAACCGTAGAAAAGTCTAAAATGTGACCTACCGGTAGTTTTGACAGCACTGTGTCCACAATGAGGACAATCTGTCCACAGAGACAGTAATAAACATGCAGGGGTGTGGACTCATCTACCTCCTCTTTCTTCCGCTCATCTTCAACGTAGTCTAAGATTTCAGGCATAACTACAATCTGAAGAAGCAAAAAGCTGTTTAGTCAGATCAAGTTAACATCCCCACCCTCAGACATACCAAGTGAAGATCTTCATGCTTTCCCGTTGTTGATTTTTATGCAACACCATTTACTGAAGTTTATTTAAAACATTTTTGATGTTCTAATCTTCAATAAAATGTGTCAGTATAACTAAGAAGTAAATTGGCTCTTTTTCCTCCCCCTTCACATTTAAACGAGTTAAACTTTTGGACTCTTTTCCTCTACCCAAATTTTCATAACAAACGGACAATGTGGTCAACAAATTTACATGTAAAAATTTGCAGGTGAGGGGGGGGGGGAAGGAAAAAGAGCCCAAATATGTTCACTATTATTAGTTTGTTCACCATGCCAAATTTCATTGCATTATGAAAAAATTAAGTAAGCTTTTCAAAATTAAATTTGAAGAGAGAACTGGAAAAGAGCCAACTTTTGTTTCTATTGTCTGATTGTTACAAAAATTCGCATGCGACTAATTGGGTCCAAGTATCGAATCTATCTCCTGGCTTCCAGGTGCGAATAGCACAAGTGGTAGGATGCCTGCCCATATGACCGAGGTCCTTGGTTCGAATCTTGGTGAGGCCAGATGAGAGGTTTCTAATCTGGAGTCGCTGTGAAGGTTGGGTTAGGCATAGCTCGAAAGGGTTAGACCATAGCTCGACAAGACCAGCTAAGCTATGCACGAAGTCAGATTAGAAACAGCCTTGAGTCCAAGGGTCAGTGGGTAGCATCCTACCAACATTTTTTTGTCAAGGGGGAGATGCGTAGGTTCGAGGGCTCTTTTTCCTTTTCCTCCCCCACCTCACATAGGTATAGACTTCATGGTGTAACGAGTGGTTTTACAAGGTTGAGTATGAAGACTAAATATGTTTGTCAGGGCCTAAATAGTCCGTATGCCCAATTTGATAACAATCCGACAATATGAACAGAAAAATTACTCTAAAAAATTTGCAGGTGGGGGGGAAGGAAAAGAGCCGGTTCGAGTTCAGGTTCAGCGAACCAGCAGAGCATTAATTAGTTCACCATCCTATCTGGGTCAGTCTGGGCTTTATGAGAGCTTGGCTGGCTCATTTTCTTCTCTCTCCCCTCGCCCCACCTCAGATAATAAATAGCCCCCGATTTTTAATGAGTTAATCAATCAAGTAAAGAAGCTGACTCTTTTTCCTTTCTGACCCCCTCCCCACCTCAGACGAACATGTTTGTCATAACCTAATTAGTCCGTATTTCAATTTTCATAACAATCGATTAATGGGAACAAAATTTTTACTTGTATTTTTTTGCAGGTGGTGGGGGAAGGAAAAAGAGCCAAGAGGCCTAGCCCAGGTTGAAAATGTTGATTTTAACTAACCTATTGCAATTTTTAAGAGCTGATCGCAAAATTAGAAAGCACGTGTCATTTGAACCCTAATGTCTGATTGTTATAAAAATTCGCATGCGGACTAATTAGGTCATGACAAATATATTTGTCTCCATGCTTAACCCTGTAAAATTACTCGTTATACCATAAAATTTATGCTCGTGCAAAGTTTGGGGAGGGTGGGTTTGAGGGAGGAAAGAAAAAGATACAATTTTTACATCATATTTATATGCAAATTGCCGTATGAACAATTTTTAAACAAGTTATATAATTTTACAGGGAAGTGAAATACTGGAAAAAAAGCAAAACTTCCAGCCGAAATATTTGGATCAAAGTTGTAAGGAGCTGCGTGTAAATTGCTGGAGTCTGATTGCCTAAAAATTGAAACTTAAGCCAAGTTAAATTCCCCCACCTAATCTCCAGGGCTAAGATGTTGATTTCGTCCCTTTAGTGCATTAGAAAAAGTGCGCAGGGGTGCTCTTATGGTTTTATTGCAGTTTGAAACATGAACAAACCGTTTCCAGACAAAATCATCAAATACAAAATCAGCCCAAACAAAATCACCCAAAAAGCTCAAAAACTGAAGTCCAAATCATCCCAGTCATTATCTCATAAAAACTAGTCTCATCAAACCCGAAAGATGGTCATCGAGCAAATAACCGGTAGTGCATTACCCAAAAAGGCGGTCTGACCTATATTCAGATCATCCGCCACGAAAGATAGACAAGTAGCCGGTTGAGCATTACCCAAACAGCGAAGTCACAACGCGAGAAGCTGGGAGAGTGGTGCAAGAATTGGTGAAATGGTAATTTATCATCCTAAGTCGAGATATATGAAAAGTGAGATAGCTCCACAGCTCACTAATACAATCTTTCTCAATTATTAGGGTATATAAAAATTACGTCCCCTGAATCAAGGGCATTAAGGAGATAAGGTTAAAACAAAATGAATTAAACCAAAAAGTACAGCCTGCAGAGTTCAATAAACTCAGTCTACTGGATAATTTTCAAATAAAAGATGAATTCTAAGCAAAAAAATTGTGTTTGCATATGATTGGATCTCATCTACGAATTAAAAAGTTACTACTATTTTACAGTTGTATTTCCAGCAAACATATTTGTTGGCTTTTATTAAGATCTCAGATCTATAAACTAACTTGTTGGATCTCGTTAACTATTTCCACCCTATTTCGATTTTCAGAAATTCCACTTTGGCTGCCATATTTTCAATAGTGTAAAATAATTTTCAGAAACTATTTAATTAAAATTCTTAATGTATGTATTATATAAATCGCGTGTAATCCAAATACGAACGCGCGAAAATGAAAACCAATTAAGTCAAAAATAATACATTCATTGGGGGGGGGGGGGGGGGGGGGTTTAGTTAGACGCTATCCTTAGCCTTTATTCATAGAAGCTACCCTTATTCATAGACGCTACCCTTAGCCTTTATTCATCATCGAATGAGGCAGCCATTGTTTCAATAACAGCCTCGGACAACTTATTCCACGACGCAAGAAAAAGTTAACACTCCCTTCTCCCAAGCATCAGTTTCATTATCTTCACATAGGAGTCAAAATAAACAAATCTTAAGAGGGAAAAGCGCACCAGGAACAAGGCATTAACTTTTCGCTGAGCTTTTTTTAATTCCTCAAAATCCATTTTACTCCAAAAACCGCCAGCGACGCAGGCACTTTTTCTTAAAACTGGGGTAAGGTCAATGTAAGGTTTAGCTAAATGTTTCATTAAACAAAAAATTGAAATAACTTTCCAATGAGTATGGCCGCACCCCGTATTATCAACTCCAGCACAAGAAACTTGTATCGGAAACATCATTGCTTGGATGTAACCATAACCGAGCCGCGTCTCAGATCTTCTTGCAGTATTGAAACTTTGTAACGCTAACAGAAATTGTCACTTATCTAATCCTTCGAACTCAATTGCACAAACTGTTCAGAAAACGTGTTTTCCAAAAATTTAATTTTGAAATAATTACAGAAAGCGAATTTGAGTTCGACGATGAAACAAAGTAGTCGTGAGCACATTAAAGGATATGTAATGACGATGATGAATTTCTACATTCAGAGAGTTCGTTAATATACAAAACATTCCAGGAGAGCAACATAATTGTACTGCGATAAAACGGTGAAAATTAGCTCTGAAAAGGTTTCAAAAAAGAAATTAGGTAAAAACAAGAATAGAATCACACCCCTAACTGGAGAAAAAGCATTTCACTTCGTCGAATCTTCGCCATGGTTGCTTGACTATTGTCAAAGACTGGTCGTCTATATAGCAGATACGAAAGATGCTACTAAAAACATAACTTTGGATAAGTTCACAAGTCGAAGTCCCATTTACAGTCCTTGTATCAGCCCAACGATCGCTTTTCAAACTTTAGCCACCAATATAGCAGATACAGGAGATTCTATATACATGCAAATGCAATGCTAGCATATGAGCACTTTAAGAAAAGGTTCCTAAATGCTTTACTTTTGGGGTTCTACCTTGATTACAACATGTCATTTGAGAAGCAAATAAACCATTGTTGCAAGTTATGTTATCTAGAATTGCGTAAATTATATTCCATTCGACGTTTTCTGACTTTAGACCAAAGAAAAATGTTTGTTACTAGCTTTATTCTGTCAAGGCTTGACTATTGCAATGCGTTATATATGAAAGTGAATAAAATTTTACTTATTAAATTACAGAAAGTTCAAAACGCTGCCGCCAGGTTTGTTTTAGGTGCTACGAGGAGAACAGCATCAACAAACGAGTTACTGAAGAAATTGCACTGGCTTCCAGTTTACCAAAGAATTAGGTTCAAAATATGCTGCTTTATGTTTCGCATCTTTTCAAAAAGAATCCTGCTTCTGTCAACCCTTCGCGCAGACAAAAGTTTATCCTTCCGAAATGCAGAACAGAATTTACCAAAAAAAAGCATAGCCTACCAAGGAGCTGTTATTTGGAACTCACTGCCTGTTCTCTTAACAGATATTATTGATTTTACGCTGTTTAAACGAACCCTGAAAACTGTTTTATTCTGTGAGGCTTTGTGAGCCTTCTACCACTCTTGTGCTCAAGAAAGAGTGGTAAAGCCAATCATCATCATCATCATTATTCAAAAGTTAGGCTGGAAAAAAACGGATCTCTTAATAATACCCTACATTCGCCAGCTCGCTGTGTTATCAAAAACATAATATCTGAGGGCTATTCTTCTAGCTAAGCTTTAAGAACTCCGGTCAAAACGCAAGCTAGACAAAGGATCCTTTCTATTTTTGTTTCGACTTTCGAAGAAAGCGCAGAATATCTATGCTTGGTATGGTTTTTTTATTCATTAAATTTTCGACTTTTCAACTAAGCATTTTTGACAGAATTTTCTTATACGTGATATGTGTGATATTTTTAAGCTAAGCTCAAATTTAAAAAGATATTTGATCTGTGATTATAACGGGCGTTTGAAAACTGCTAATTTAGCCAATTTGCGATAATTAAGGCGCGATATATTGCGTACTTAACAAACGTGAGAAGCGAATTGTACTAAATTTGAGACGCGAATTGTACGTGTTCTAAATTTAATTGAAGCCAGCAATTTAATCCTATTATCACAACACGAGACACGCCC